TATCTTCAGACTAAGGACACAACACACAAGACTGAGACAACATATGTACAAATGTTTTAAACTAGTACAATCACCAAAATGCCAGTGTGGAGAGGCGGACCAAACTGTTGAACACATCCTTCAGCACTGCAAGACACACAGGGCCCTGAGACAGGAAACGTGGCCAACCCCACTGACGCTACAAGAGAAGCTATACGGGCCGACAGATGAACTAAGCAGGACGGCCCAATTCATGACAGATACCAGACTTCAAGTGTGATGCGATCGAGAAGAAGAAAAGAAGAAGAAGAGGCAAGTCGCTACACTAGAATTACAAAGTTCTATCTGCTCAGTACCAAGCTCTGTTAAACACCAAAAAGTTTGAGTTTCACAGCATGTCAAGCTTTTTCCAATGCAATTCTGTTTTTGGGGGGGTTTTGTTTTTGTATAGTGTTTTACGGCGCTCGCAACTGCATAGGTCATATGAGCGCGCGGGACACTCCTAATATTTTCAGTTGGTAGGAAATTTCGAATTTTGCCCGGGTAGCGGCCGAAGCCTACTCTTATCGATTTTAGACCACCAAGGGATCTTTAACGTGCGCAACTTGCACACGGGCCCTCCGAGATTTTTCGCCTTTGTCCGAGAAGGCTAGGTGTGGATCTTTCCTACCAGAAGATCAGGGGTGTGGCAGAAAGACAGCAGTAAGGAGGAGCCAATGAGTAGCAGTAGAAAGGCTGCAGAAAGAGTCAGGAGCCCAGAGGAGGGGGCAAAGGAGGTGAGGGGGTGGGGGCAGAACGTGGAAATGAAAGCAGACAACAGAACATTGCTAGAGAGCAGGAAAGGAGGTGAAAGGAGACAATTTTAGACAAGAAAATTTTTCGGTCGCTACCCGGATTCGAACCCGGGACCTTTGAGTGAGAGGCCAACACCTTAACCTCTAGGCCACGAGAGCCCCCAATTCTGTGAATACTTGTATCTCGGTAACGACTCCGAATGATCTTTCGATTTCGAAGAGGCGGAAGAACGTTAAGTTTCTGATCTCATGGTCATACTTAGTCAATCAAAACGGGCAAAAATGTCAGAAAGAACTTTGTAATGAAATTCTGAACTATCGAAGTGTTGAAAAGCTAAATTATAATACAATAAAACGAGATAATCTACTTTATTTTTATTTATTTTTTTTTTTATTTTTATTTTTTTTTTGGGGGGGGGGTATTTTTGTTAGTTTGTTCTTTTCTTTTGCGGGTTTGTTTGTTGTTGTTGTTTTTTGTGGGGGTGGGGGTCCTGAAAACTTGACATTGAACTGCATCATACAAAGTGTCTATATCTCCATTGCCTTGGGGGAGAACAAAAGGACACACTTCAGATTTCTCAGGCAAAGGCGTTTCCCTGACAGAAAAGCATTTAAGAAAGTGTACCACCCTCCCCCCCCCCCCAAAGGGAAACAAAAACAAAAAACAAATACCCAAACAAATAAATAAACGAATGAAACAACAGAGAACAACAAAAGTAACCCTATAACAATGTTCTTTAGAAGTTTCCTTTTTTTTTAAACAACTTACATGAGCATATTATTATTATTAACTGTAAAACTGAAGAGGGGCGAGGAAGCATGGAGTATCCAATCTTCCTAGGACCCCAGTTCTAGATTCAAGTAATTCAAGTAATTACTGTAACTGTAAAAAGTATTGTGGTGAATGCAGAGACTTACTGTCTATAGTAGTAGAGACAGAGGACGAGAACGAGCAGACTGATGAAGGCCGCGGGGATGGCGGGCACGAGCTGCTGAAGGTGTAGGTGGTGGTGGTTGGGGGAGAAGTATTTGGCCGCGTCCGCCTTCCCGGACACCATTTTCCACACGGACACCTCCTCCTGGCCCTGGCTCAGTCTGCCTCCTTCAAGAGGGACAAGAGGCTTTTCGTCGCTCTCCTTTTCTTTCCTCCTGTCTCGCTCTTTTTGACTAGATCTACCTTTCTGCGTGTTTTTGTGATTGTCGCTTTTACCTGGCGAGGTGTTGCTGTTGTTGCTGCTGTTGTTGTTGTTGTTGTTGTTGTTGTTGTTGTTATTGCTGATGTTGCTGTTGTTGTTGTTGTTGTTGTTGTTGTTGTTGTTGTTGTTGCTGCTGCTGTTGCTGCTGCTGCTTCTTTTGTTGTTGTTGTTGTTGTTGCTGTTGTTGCTGTTGTTGTTGCTGTTGGTGTTGTTGTTGTTATTGTTGTTGTCGCTGTTGTTGTTGTTGTTGCTGTTGTTGTTGTTGTTGTTGTTGTTGTTGTTGCTGCTGCTGTTGCTGCTGCTGCTTCTTTTGTTGTTGTTGTTGTTGTTGTTGTTGCTGTTGTTGCTGTTGTTGTTGCTGTTGGTGTTGTTGTTGTTATTGTTGTTGTCGCTGTTGTTGTTGTTGTTGCTGTTGTTGTTGTTGTTGTTGTTGTTGTTGTTGCTGCTGCTGTTGCTGCTGCTGCTTCTTTTGTTGTTGTTGTTGTTGTTGTTGTTGTTGTTGTTGTTGCTGTTGTTGCTGTTGTTGTTGCTGTTGGTGTTGTTGTTGTTATTGTTGTTGTCGCTGTTGTTGTTGTTGTTGTTGCTGTTGTTGTTGCTGTTGGTGTTGTTGTTGTTATTGTTG